TGTCAGGTGTCCTGCATTGTTAAAATCCATGTCAATGTGAAGAGTAGTTATATGAAATAATTTTGTTACAAAAAATCAGCAAAAAATTATATCTGTTTTTTTTATTTTCAGCCATTAAAGTTAACATTGATTTGACCATCTGTCTCTCAGTCAGTCCAAAATAGTGGCAAGTTTTAAAACCTCTGTCTGTCAACACTTGGCTCTTTTTAAATCTTCTGTAGATAGGATTCCTGTTTTAAAATATTTTTGTTCAACATCAATAAAGAAAAAAAACCTGTGACTCTTGCTTCAAAATCTCGCCTATTTTCAAAATGGCCACCATTTTTGTCTCGGGAATTCACTTTTGGCCCATTTTCTAGCTTTACAAATAAGTTCAGGTGTCCTGCATTGTAAAAAGCCATGTCTTTGTAAAGAGTAGTTGTATGAAATTAATAATTTTGTTACAAAAAATCGGCAAAAAATTATATCCGTTTTTTTATTTTCACTTTTGAGCAACACCATGTGAGTTCAGTACCCACGGTACTAATTTTTTTATCGGGTACGATTTTTCAAACGATTGATGTGTGTTCAGGAAAAAATTAGTTAAAATAATTACCGGCAGGAAAGCGGGTTGGTGCCATAGACGTTTGTGGAGGGACAGATGTTTTTGAGGTTGGAGCTTTCGTTGTTGTGAGTTTCTGGGTTGTCGCCTTTGTCGTTGGTTTCTCAGTCTGCGCCTGTGTTGAACTGGAGTCAGCAAATGGATCGCAATTCTCTAGAACTAGATACCCAGTCACACCCCCATTTGGCCAGTAGTATTTCAGAACTGATACCATAATTTCAAAGGATTGTTGCTGTAACTTTCTTTCAACTAGAAAATTCCTTTGAGCGAAGAATTCAAAGCAGTTTCTAGTACATTTCAAATTTTGCATAATTCCATAAACCTGGAAAACATACAAACAAATACACACTCAATTTGTACATAGAATGTTAAAAGTACAAGTAAATAGCCTAGAAATACATTTTCCATCTATTTCGGTCATTTTTCATTTTTATCAAATCTTTTCCTCCTTTACCACGAACAAAATTAACATCTCCCTTGATAAACTGTTTTGATCGTAAAACTATTTAATTCAATTTACATTTTGTAATTTGAATATACCTTCATCCTACACTATGTAAACGGAACACCTGAAGAACATGCTTCTGTAAATATGTTGAATCTCTTTTTTATACTTTTAACTTTGTAAATTATGTAATTTAATCTGATGTACACAACTCGGAGGAAATAAAGAAACATAAACACTCGATGCCGTATGTATAAATAGTCTCACCTCTATATTTTTGACAATAACGTTGAAATGAATTGCGAACTCATACCCAACATCGAAGTCCGAGACTCCATCAAACCGTCCTTTGAACTTTCGTAAATTTCCCTCGATCCATGAATGGTTGTTGGCAATAACCATGGGTTTCTTGTTGGGGCAGGATGTGAAGGCTACAATATTTAGATACTAAGCTTACGTTTATTTCAGGTAGAAATGCCTTTCTAATTTTACCTAGAATTCGTACTAGTCATTTATACCATTAACTAAACCAAATCATGTTGTTAACGATTCTAGATCGTTGCTTGTTTGTTTGTTTTACATTTTGGGATCAAATGATTTCAAATCAATATTGATGGGGTCGCGACTGCGAAACAATTATAATCTAAATCCTAATTATTTAAAAACGTAAGAAGATGATGTCTTTACTACTGCTCTGTTAACTACTAAAGTATCATATTGCTATTAATTAGTAATTTTACTAACCTGAAAAAACGCATTGAGCAAATATCAAAATACCCAGGATCCGATGTGCATGGCCGGCCATCCCGACTGCCCAAAGAAATGTAATTTATTGTTGAACTTGATTTCTTCATATACCTGTTCGACGTACGTTGTATCACTTCATCGTCGCGTCAACAATTTGCACTTTAATTTGAATTACGTCTGTTTTGTCTAACATGGTAGCACCCAGTTAAACAAATGTCACCAAATATACCGATATAGAATCGTATGCAAATGTGCTAGAATATGTAATTAAGATGAAAGTCGGAAATGAGCGAATTGTTGACATGGGATTTGTTCAAATGAATATAACACAGGGACATTTTGTTTTGGTCACATTTTAAACTTTTAAACTGACCTTATCAAGCGTTCCATCTGAGTGTTTTCGAGTAGTCACGATTTTGCCCGGGTGTACACAAACAATTTTAAGTACGGCCATGTGCATACAAACCAATATATCACCTGCATTTTCAAAGGCATTGGAGGATTGAAATGTCAAAATAAATGCCATTTTTTGCGTTACCGTTTGTTAATGTTTACGTTGTCGGCGTAAAATGTTGATTTTTTGTTGAAACCATTTTAATTTTGTTCTGACACGTCGCAAAAAAGTTCGCGCAAGTATTAATCACATTTTCGCTTTTCAACACCACAGAATAAAATGTACACATATGGAAATCCTTTCGTCCTCCACATTTTCCTCTATATCTCAAAATATTTAAGGCGAATAATTTTGAAATCGTAATGTAGTAACAAAAAATGAGCAAAAAAGGTCGCTGTCGACAGATTCTATTTTTCAAACTATATGACGACACGATATGGGACGCTTATTAGAATTCATCCTTTGAAATAACACTTCCATCTACCTTTATCAAGACGAAAATAAAGTATAATAGTCAAATATTGTTCGAGTTATGTGCGTTTAAAGACAAAAAATTATTCAAATTGTAACGTGTCGACAGCGGATATTTGGCAGATTTTCGGGTAAAAAACTCTTTTTTTAAAAAAGAACGCGCAAGAATTGTGAAAGAAGTGTACTTGATTTGAAAACTTCATTAAAGCAGCTTTAAAATGATATATAATTTGATTAGAATATTATCTTATATTCCGAAGAATTAAAGTTACATTCATGCGATACCCTAAAAACACAAGTGCGCCAGCTTTTTGCGACGTGTCTCTCAATATCGAGGACAATCCTAATGAAAAATGCATTTTATTGTGACAGACATACGAGGGTTGATCATAAAGTTCTCATAATATCTCTCTAATTTCTTTATTTTTCAATATTTTCCTATGAAATTTTCACAGAATGTGCAGCATGGAATGTTTTATTAATCCAGCAAAAAATATTTGGAATAACAGAAGCATTAAATAAGAAATGGTTGCCATAGAAACTTGAAATCAAGGCACCCGGGGCAAATAAAAAACTAGCTAGAATAGCCCCCATTATTATTCAAGTTAACATTTTAACGTGTTTGGTAATTCATGAGAGTTTATTATGTATGTAAACATGGTTAATTAAGCGCATTCTCTCAATTATTTTTATTTGCCCCGGGTGCCTTGATTTCCCGTTACTATGGCAAGCATTTCTTATTCAATATTTCTGTTAAACTAAACATTTTTTGCTGAATTAATAAGACATTCTATGCTGGACATTCGGTGAAAATTTCATTAGAATATATTGAAAAATAAAGAAATTAGAGAGATATTATGAGAACTTTATGATCAACCCTCGTATACACTGTGATATCATGTATCATGTGTACAGTGTATATAAATGTATGTCTAATAAAGAATCTACACTATTAAAAATAGTGTACAAAATATCCTGTATAATGGTTATTTCTTATAATTATAAATAACTAGATCATCAGTGCTGTTTTCCGCGGCGCGGCCCCATCTATGACCCTTTTAACTTGCCAACTATAAAAAATTATCTATTGCTTGAATTCGTGAATGCAAATAACGGCTAGCGGCTACCGGAATAACCTACTACTTTACTCAAATGCTGCTGCACTGGATACCGGTGTAAAAGGGTAGGAGGTCCTATCAAATTATAGTCCTACTTTCCATTGATTTATATTGTGACCTAAATACAACTCTTTCCCTTATTATCGTATCCACAATCAGGGCCAGTAAGGGCCTTTAAGAAAGGGGACCATAATCCCCAGGGGACCATAATTCCTTTTACACCGGATTAACCTACTTTTTAATGACCAAGTCATTTGAATATGAATGGAATAGTAGCATGTACATTGTACTATACATATTTAAATGAGTTGGCAATAAAATAGTAAGTTCATCCGGTAGCCGACAGGCGTTAGTTCGCGAATACAAGGTTAGCTTGTAAATAAGATGCTGAAATGGGATATATTTGACAGTTTTTAACATATTGTAAAAAAGATGCTGAAATGATATATTTGACAGTTTTTAACATACTTTAAACTCCCAAACTCCCATGAAGTGTCTCTGAAGAGATAATTGAAGACTAGAGATAATTGAAGACTAGCACTGCCACGGAGTTTGTTAAACTTTGACTCAAAAATGATGAAAATTCGCTGACTCACCACTTTTGAGACTGATTTGCAACCTGATCCACACATAAAAAAATTATCACGCTTAAAGTCCCCCGTCTAATGTTTGAAAATATGTTTTTATCATTCATTTACTGAAAACGTGTGACCATGTCATTTGCAACTCAGGGCATAGTTTTTTCATGATACCCAATACGGGAGAAAACGGCTAAATATTATGCAATAGTACATGCGCCGCGGGTGGACTTCCCCGATAGACTAGTCTAGTCCGAATTTGAAATGTTTATAGAAAACTGGCTATCGAGGATTTGAAGTCTGTCATTGGGATTTTGTTTTAAAGCATGAGTATCAAAAACAACAATAATTCATTATTTAATGTTGTCTACATGCAATGACATTTATCTTACAGATGAAAGATTTTTCTTCAAAATGAGACCCTGATCATTATAAAATTCGGACCAATGCCAAATTCAATCATACCTTTTTTTACTTATAGTTCCCAGAAAAATTGAAGCGTTATCCTCCTTCTTATCATATACATATTGACTCAGATCTGACATAAGCAACTCATAGAGTTAGAGGATGGTTGTTGACCGTAAACCTATAACAAAACAAAACGTCACGTTCGGTAGTTGGCTGCAACATATTTGCCGAACTGCATCATGGGACAGGTGCTCGAAATTCAAAATGGCAGATCCGACAAAAATTAAATTCGAACAAAATTGCCTTAAAAGTGGCATCATAGAGCCTCAAATCCGCAATGTATCGGTTAAAATAAAGGACAAAGATGCAAAGAATGAGCTCAATCTAAATAAAACATTCGATTGCGGACCTGTTTCTCTCAGGAATGACCTTCAAGAAGCCATTGATAATTCACAAAAAGAATTTTTCAAAAATCGAAAAGTGATCATCAAAAATGTCCCTCCTGTTACTTATAATGTAAGTACAAAGATAGATTTATATCATGTTTTATTACAACAACATAATGCTGATTTAGATATTAACTGCTCTTCGTGTTTTCTTCTATCATTACCAAAACTTCACTTGGGAATTCGACTAAGTCAATTCAAAATCAAATTGAAAGTTTCATTGAAACTCATTGCCATTTTTCAAGTTCTGAGCTGAATTTCATAATTTTAATTTTTAATGCTATAGCTTACAGTGCTAGCCATAATCATGATCTTTCAAGAGTCTGTTGAAATTAGCTACAGTTTTCAAACTAAATAGAGTTACCCGTGCCAGGACTATAGTCGTGAGAATGTTTCAATCTTTTGCCTGTATGACTACAACATGGCAGAACGGAAACATTTTTCTTTTTCATCAAGAGAGATTCCATCACTTTTCAAGATGGCGGTTGGATTTAAAAGGGAATTTCCTTACTAACTTCGAGAGCCATGTTAGATTTTGAAACTTATGGCTCTCAAATGGGGAAGTGGACATCTGATCAATAGTGACCTTTTAAATCGAATTAAGTCGATCAGCGGCCTACTTTTGTTCTCTAACTATGTTATACATCATTATCATCCTTCCGTGCAAGTATTGGATCGCTGAATTACTTCCTTTTCGATCAAGACTTGTAATTGTTAGTCGAGTGAATGTTTTTATTGCCAAATTTCAATATGGCGTTTTCTGCTCGGACAATTCCGTGAATCTCCGGAGGTTGCCCAAACCTAAATCATTCTCAAAATTCATTGCGTATCTCGCTCCTAGCAAACCGAGGTATATAAAGGCATTAGGCAATTATTACTCCTGAGCACTTTCCAATAAATCTTACCACAATAAACAAACTTGTGGAGCTCAAACTCAGACAAATGCGTCATGCATACACTGGTATGAAGCCTTGGAGACACATTTCGATAAATATGATTTACGGGGTATACTTTTCTGCAGTATTGGGAGAGTTTGGGACATTAAATGTTAAGATTCAAGAAAATGACTTATCAATTATCTTTGGCTAGAGCTGTAGGCCTAAACTCATGCATTATCTACCTTTTATCCTAATTATGTCCTATTATGTCAGATTACACAGCCATGTTAATTGCCTGATTCGTCAATGCATGCTAGGCCTACCAAGACCAGGACCTTCTGAATGAAAGTGTGATGCTCTACCGCTAAGCCAAAGAGACTTAAGTCACCACAGCTGAGCTGTAGTAGCATCTTACTATCCAAGGGCTGTTACATAGTTGCACCAACCTCTCACAATGTATTCAGTGTTATGGTGAGAGTTTTCATTTTCTTTTCTAGGAGGTCAAATGCTTTATGGGGAATTATGCTGTGGCGAACATTGCAATCAGTAAGAAGGCTAGACATGGTAAGTAGGACCTGGCGGTTAATCTAATTTTTGTATGTCTTCATACATTATAGGGTTGTTTTACAATCATACCATATTCTCTGTAATTACCCCTCAGGGCGCTTAGAAAATTGAAAATGCATCCCTCAGACCTTCCTTCTAATAAGCAGCCATATAATGTAACAAGTTTAAAATCCTGGGAATTTCACTTTTGACAAAGTAACAGCATATTTTTACAATAATGATATGACAGTATTTGTTATTGGAGAGATTACGGTAAAGACTGCTAAAATAAAGCAAAGATCTTGCAAGAATATAACTAGACAATATTGACAGTGATTGAAGAAATCCCCAGCAGAGCCCCTCAGATCGAAGGCATTGTTTTCCCAGATTATCTTCAATATTTGCACTAGAGATGGTTGGATATCAATCTAAAGTTATACCTTATCTTTTTAATTTGATAATAGATCATCACTTTTCATGTAAAAGTCTAGAAATTTTAAAAAGAAACGAGAAAACTCATGAAAAGCCCATGTTTCCTTGCAGAAGTTTTCTGGGATAAATGACGAAACAAAATTCTTAAACTTGAACATTTTCTTCATTCATTTTTGATTATTGGGTTATAAGATTAGTTTAGTGTGATGTGAGAAGCACCCAATGATAGATATTTATCGAGAGGATGCATCAAATTACAAAATGTGTTACATTTACTGCAGTTTAGTGTACTCTATTATCACCCATTTGATTCATCAGAATTCCAATCTTTTTCTCATGTTTTCACTATTCCTTGTTCATTTCCTTATATTTTTTTAACTTTGTGAAGCGGGGTGGGTGGTAAATACAGCAATTACAGTAAGTGTTTTTATTTTACCTAAGTCGTCTATAATTTCTCAAAAATTGGAACATTCCTATGTGAAATAACTTGTAACACTTCATAAATTCTGTTTCAGCAATTGTGAACTTACTTCACGGTGAGGAAGCAGAGGAGGTTGAAAAAGTGCTAGATGGGCAAAAGCTGCTCGGAATGGAGGTCTCTGTATCACTATATCCTCATGAAAGATTGCTATGTGTGGCCCACCTGCCTTCAAATATGTCAGATTCAGAATTCAGGACAACTATGTTAGAATATGGAAGCATTGAGAGATGTTTTATCATGCGCAGTTCAATTACAGGTTTGTGTGCTTTGTATTGATTGGTTTGCATAATTGACTTGATTCTTTTCTCTTAGGCTATTCTTTTAACTTTCTATAGTATATGCCTCAGTATATACAACTGTATGTCATCAGTATGTATGTTAGTTTTTTAACTTTAATCATGGCTTGCTTAGACCTTGTGAGTGAAACTATAACATTATAATTTCTTATCATGAGCTTGATGCAGTACTACGGTATGAAATAAAAATACAGTATGCTCATGTTCAACCCAAAAACATCCACGGCTACACAATAGACAGAAAGAGTGGACTTTGTCTTTATGAAAAACAAGCTTGATTCAATTATGATTTAAAAGCATATGCTCTTACTTGTAAATATTTTCAGGGTTGCCTAAGGGGTACGGATTTGTAGAGTTCACTCACAACAAAGAACACACGGAAAGAGTCCAGCAAATTCTTGATGATAAACGTTATGGCTCATGTATAACATCATGTAACTTCTTGAAAGAGCGAGTGCTAACTTACAAAGATCTCCACTCCAAGTGTTTGCTGGTTGACCATCTGCCCCCTGGTTATAATAACTTCAGCAGGCTGAAGAATCTGATGAACCAGTTTGCTCAACCGATATATACACAGGTATTTTGGCAATTCTTATGTTCATGATTTCATAAGATGGCAAACCAAACCATTGCATTTTTCTTAGTCATATCTTCAATACGTTAGCATCATTCTGTAAGCACAGTACTAGAATATATTACTTTTTGTCGCATAATTGAGGTCAAATCTGTAGAATAACGCAGATATATATTTATGATATTTTGCAAATGCATGGAAAAAAGTGATATCTGTGGAATACGGAGAATATTCCACAGATATGACTTTTTCCAAGGATTTGAAAACTCCCGCCAATGTGACGTGCATTGTTATATGGTTACATGGAAATGAAATGATAAATGCTTTGGCTATAGATCAGATGACAAAATTAAACTGAATGTTGTATTAAAATGCTTTGGAAGGTAAGCTATGGGATGATTTGACCTCAACTATGGGATAAATAGAACATCCTATGATTTTTTCGTGATATTATTTTAATCCACTCGCTGATATCAATATCTGCACTCATTCGCTACGCTTGATTTCAACTCGTTGATAAAAATGATATCTCTCAAAATCATTAGTATATCCTATACATACATATACATGAAATTATACTAAACTTTAGTTCTCCTAATTTTTTCAAAATGAGTTTTTGAAAAAGCTGCTATTGAAACAGTGATAAAATTAGACATGTGTATAACAATTAAGATTTTAGTGGGTGGGTGTGAACGGAATGGTACAACTTGTATTGACAGAGTTGTGGTATCACCTCTCACAATCCTCAGTAGTGCCTTATGGATGGCGTTTTCGAAACTATACACTTATAGTGATATTTTTGAATCACATGCTGAGTTGTTTTCATTTGTTTCAGTGTGCAGTAAAGAATGGTGTACCATTAGGATTTGCTGTATTCGAGTACAAAACTCCTGAAGAAGCTGAGCAGACACAGAGACATAATAATGGATACACAATAATTGGTAAATCAAATACCCTATCCTATACCTACTGATGTCCCTGTAGACTCCCGGCCTTGGGAGATACACATATTTCCATGAGGATAAACCCTGTATCCAAAACCTCCCAGTATATAACCCCCTATGTGCCCTTCAATTTCATTTATTTCAAATGAAGGTACATTAAGAGTACAATTTTCTCCTGTGAGTTTTTTTCTCGAGTGAGGACGAAATTTTCAAATTTTCTCATTTTGAAGGGGGTGCAAATGGATGATCATGTAACCAGGTATTTGCACATGATGTTAAGTTGGTACAGTGCCTTTTTGTTTCAATTCTAGGAAATCATACAATTAAGTAGTGTTTCTAGAATTGTGATAAAAACTTCATGACATAGTAAGAATATTATCCTTTATTTACAGGACAAAACAAAATCCGAGTGACATTCTGTATTCCTGGCTATGGGGCACCCGAATTACATAACATGAAAATGGTTAAAGCAACGGTAAGGAAGAATTTAAAGTTACAAACATTGTAAGCACAACTGCCAAAACGGAAGACCAATGAGCCCTACAAATCATGACACTCTCAATATTCTCTGTAAATACAATCTTCACATGAAGCAACAATACATCATATATCAATTTTAGTGAAAATGTTAGAGGCATCTCCAATCTTTCTGTTTTGATTGCCTTGTTCTTGTGATTTTTCAGTGCAAGGCATATGCTTGTTATACTGATCGCTGTTGACATTTTAAGTACTTAAAATGATTCTGTAGTTGGCATGTTCTCATCTTTCAGGGTCAAAAAGTGAAGCAAGGACTCTTACCTAGACCTGTATCTGGTGTGAACCCCATGTTCCTGTCTAACCCTATCAACCCCATTATACAGGCAGCCATGGCCCAGAACCCCACATGTAAGAAATGTTAGCCCATATGATCGATTTCATGATTTGTGATATGATTTTTGCAGTTTTTTGGTAATTAAATAGCCAAGTACCATTCGCCCACTTAATAAACTAATTTTTTGTGGAAATCTATGTAAAACCTGTGAGACTTTGTTGAATTTAAAGAAAGCTACTTCTGAAGTATAATCGCTGTACTTCCTTCAGTATAACAGATATCTGACCTTTAATCAAATTCACTCACAAGTAAAGCACTGATTTCATTGAAATACATATTTTAATTTTTGTATGTACCGATGCAATTTTCCTTATTCAAAGTCACACATGTTTTGAGAGTTTAAATAAATAACAAATTATTATTCTCTGTGGAACACAAAAAATGATTGAACTATATTTTCACTGGAAGTACGAGTATGTATCATGCTTTTATATCATCATTCAATGAATGTCAACTTAATTTGCATCACTGATTTGCATATTGGCATAATACACATCACTTCAAAACTATGAAGTATTACATGGACAGATAAAAAGGTTGCAAAAATCAGTTATTTTACCACAATGTTATAATCAAAATTTCATTTGTTTTGTTTTAGTAATGCCAAACTTCCAAACTGTATTGCAACAATTACAAAGTATAAACCAAACTGCTGGGGTACAACATGGTGAGTATATTACTCAATATTATCCATTTCTGCAATTTCTGATTCTTTTCATTATTTGATGTTATCACATGGCCATTTTGAATTACTATTATCTCTCACCCAGGTCTAATAGGAGTAGGGGGAAGTGACCCAATGTATCTGCAACTTGTTGCACTCTTGATGGCAGCTCAGATGCAACAGCCCAACCAGAATATGGTGAGTATGTGTGATTCTGAGTACACTTTGTGATTGTCAGTACACTTTGTGATTGTCAGTACAGTGTGATTGTCGGTACACTTTGTGATTGTCAGTACACTTTGCGATTGTCAGTACACTTTGCGATTGTCAGAGTACAGTGTGATTGTCGGTACACTTTGTGGTTGTCAGTACAATGTGTGTTTGTCGTTACAATAAGTGAATGTGAGTTGAATAATGTTATCTGATTGCAAGTACAATGTGTGATTGTCAGTACAATGTTTGATTGTTAGTACAGTGTGTGATTGTTAGTGAAGTGTGTGATATTACAATTACAGTTATAGTTAGTCTCATGCTTCATGACTGATATAATAACAATAGAAAAAATTATGATTCCATGATTTATGGTCCCCCTTCAATATGGTATCTACTGTCCCATCACTTTGGCATCCATGTTTTAGTCTCTGTCAATGTGATGCCGCTTGCCTAAGGGCACAAATGTTTTGTCGTCACGACTGGTAAATCAAACATAGACTTAGGTATACTCCATAGTGTTCATTATATCATCAAAATTTATTTTAGAATTCTTTTATAATAAATGTTGACATATGAACAGCTTTATTTGTACCTTTCAGATTGGAAATTGCAATGATCCACAGATCTTACAGAAAATTCTCAGTCTACAACAGAGTCTTAGTCAACACAATCAACACAATGTGGTAAGTTAACTTTGGACTGATATGTTTGCATCTCCAAATAAAAAGATCATTGTCTATTTTACTGCAGTCATTTCTGAACTCAGGTACCAGCATTCTCAACTCTTGAGCTGTATGAATAATTTGAATGTGAGTGTTATATCCATTTCCAATTTACCACAAATCTTATTAACTCTTTAAGTACAGATATACAAGTCAACACTTTCCAATCATTTTGATCATAAATTTGTTTGAGCCATTAGAAAATAATATCCCCTTGTGTATTATGATTTGTATGTCTTCAGCAAGAAGTTGTGACATATCATTGTGGGTGTTAATTCTTTGTAAAGGGCGTTCAGCAATAATTCTTAAATTTTCCAATGGAATTCCAATTATTCCCCATCACACTAGCAAGCATATATGGGAGTTTGGCTACTTTCAGAATCAAGCCAACATTGGTGCAAAGCCTTCACTACTGGGGACCCCGGCAATGGGCCAATTGAGCAGTATGATCCAGTCGCTGATCTCCCAAATACAGTCCACTCATAGGCAGTCTGCAGGTCCAGTGGATGATAATGGTAACACGAGTGAGAACCACTATCAGAAACCAAAGAAGCCTTGTCTATTACCTAACCCTGACCAGGCTCCCTCTGTGAATGTGCCCCTCAATTTATTGAACCAGAATAAAAACAACCATATATTGAATAGTATCACTAGCTTGCTAGCTCAGATGCAGAGAGGAGGGATGAAACATAGTCAGATGCAGGAGAATGACAGTATGAGAGGTCCCCAAAACAATGGAGGACAGAGACCCCATTATACTTCAGGCTCGCGTACCCACCCTAACCCGAACCAGAGTAGATATTCAAGTGATCCAAAACCAGGCCCTGGTAAGAAGATGGGTCTTCTGGGAAATGCTCCATCAGATGGGATCCAAGTACCTCTCTTGCCCCTTCCTGTGACTAAAAGTGTCTCTGGTCCTGAGAGGGAACAAACATCAAAGCTAGCCAGCTTGGAGAATACAAAACCAGCTCTTCTCCCCACTCCTGTTGAATCAAAAACAGAACCAGAGGAGAAAGGACCTAAGAAACTGTTGTTTACAGAATACCCACCTAAATCTACTCCAAATCTGCAAACACCTACCAAAGTTCCAAAAGAAGGACTCAACCCTGGTCTGAACCCACTATTTGCTGCATTTCTACAGGGACCTCTTGTGCCCACAAACCCTAATCAAGGAGAGTTTGAAATAGAAGTTAGCAACATTGCCTCTAAGAAGAAGAAATCCAAAGTACCTTTGCTTCCTATACCCCAGTCAGCCTTAGTGGACATCCCTATGACCAAGTTAATGACGAAGAAGAAGAAGAGGAAAGGTCTGTTAGGAGACATGCCAAGGAGGAATATGATGACTAGAGCACAAAGAAAGGTCAGTAGCTTTAGGTACCTGGAGGCTAGGTAAAAATTGCTACCCACATGTATAAAAGAATATACAGTTTTGATGATGCGTGCTCGTTAGATCTTTTTACCAAGTTGGGATGTATTTCTTTTATACCAGGTGTTTCAAAATAATTGACTCATAAAAATTGAGTTGAATCAATTTTTTACATTTGAAAAGCTTCCTGCTATACAAAATCCTTGCTATATATGTTTGTATTTACCAAGCTATAAAACGGTATTTCTTCAGGCTAGACAAGCCAAAGAGAATGCTCAAATTCAACAAGCAGAGGAGATCCTTCATGCTCAACAACAAGTGGACCAGAATGAGAGAAACAACAATCCTGAACATGAAGACCTGGTTGACACCCCTACACGCACCATACAGCAACAGCTTGATGCGTATCTTGCGAACACGCCTAAACGTCCAATGAATGATGGGCCACCTGGCTTTTTGCCACTTCCTTCTGGGCCTCCTTTGCAAGAGAATGTGTATCCCAGCATGCCACCTGTCTTTGATATTAATCCGGTGAGAAAAGCATTTAATTTTATAAAACTAAATCTATATTGGTGCTACTTTGAAGACAAATAAGCTAGAACGTTCAATTAAATAATTTGTGATTCTTGAGACTACAGAAACTACTGTATAAAATAGTCTCATCTAATGGTTCTCTATTTATTCATGGCTTAATTTTTATGTCACCACCAGAACTGGTGATATATTGTTATGGTCATCTAACTTTTTTCTGGATGATGTTTGACAGTTGGTGTTTGGGGTCTGTAACTGGGGTCTGTGTTTGGGGTCTGTTAATGCTTTGTTAAATAATGATACGCTCAATAAACAAATAAAAATATTCTGTATTTGTGACATATTATCAGTGACACCATTTTTTGTGATTTGTCTGTAGCAAATGATTACACTTTTGTAACAGTTACCAAGTGGTGACAATTTGTTTAAAAATGTCCTCTATTTTGTAAATTCCAGGAAAGTGCTGGTCATGTGATCCCCCTCTTACCAACTCCCAATATTGACCCTCAACCCTCAGGTAAAAGAATATGTCAAAATCACATATAGAAGGGTTATGTACTAGGAGGTTTTGGATATAGGGTATATCCTGAGGGATATATGAATATTCCCCAAGGGATATTCCCTATATCCAGAACCGACCGTACATATGGTGTATCTCATACTTAACACGTAACACTTGTATCTCAAAGCAACGATTTCATTTTTGAATCTTAGGTTAGTAGATCTTTCTTTATCACTCAAATTAGTGTCATTTTCGTGTCTATTATCCATGTCATTACAGAATTTCACTCGACTTTCAGATTTAATTTTTCCTCGGAAGAAGTCCAAAAATGCCTCATTACACGACACGAAAAAAAGAACAATTACATTGAAAAATTCCCGGGAGTGGGATGGATATATTATATCTGCCTGCATTTGGTCTAGAGTGGGACATATACAATATATCCTGTCCACTCCTCAGATATGATATATATTCCTGGGTGATATCTACCCTAAACCCACTCAAGTATGAGATACAAAACAATATTTCTATATTTTATAGTTTTGAATTACATTTACTCTTTGCATTCAAACACCTTTCTACTTTAAGAAGTGAAGTGCCAAATGAAAATATTTTTGTTGATTTCGTATTCACCATATTAGATATTGTTACCCTAAATCCTCATGGCTTATATTAGTTTGGCTTGAACATAAGGCAATGTAGAATTGGTTTTATTACAATTTCTAACACTGTATGCAAAATGAAGCGAAGAAGTTTTGGCAAGAGTAATTTCAACATGTAAACAGTCATAAAACTCCACAAAGTACAGGCTGTTTAGGTAAAAATACTAAAAAACGATCAAATATATTCATTTATTGCTGATTTTCCCCAGGAACTGTGAACCCTGTATATAACAACTACAACCAGATGCAGAACTACTATAATCAGATGTATCAGCAAATGACAGCCATACAGCCATCTGGGTTCCCTCCACAAGTCATGCCAGACCCTAGTCAGGTGAGATCTAATGTCAATGTCATATCTTTTGCATTACTGAAATTTATTCCCATATACGGTATAAAGATAATTCAGTGTAACATTGAAATTTGACACCATTATTTGTTGTCACTATGGATAGGGATATACAACTTGTATGGTCAGTATATTGATGGTCATCCACATACCACTAATGCCTTCAATTATGTTTGGGTGTGAAGGTCTTGTTTACTTAATGCTCACTGACTTTTTTGAAAACCCCCAGAATTGATCATTTGCATTTTTAAGAGGAGGGAGGGTGTCAGTTTGCATGGCAACTAACTAGACACCATATTATTGATATCTTGTCTATTTCATTTCATTTGATTTATTGTTATATGAAGGAAATAAGAAAAAAAAGTCATTTCTCTAACTGTGGAATTTGTGATTTTATCACATTTTGCAGGTTGATCAGATGACTATGCAACAAATAATGCAACAGGCAATACTGGACCTCAAGGCCCCTGATCGATCTGAAGATAAAGAAAGCAGTGGTCCTGATACTGATACTGAATCGCAAGCCATCTCAACTGATACTACCTCTGATACTGCATCATTAGGGGTATGTTTTCTTAGATATGCCAAATATTGTATTGAAATAGAGGACCTAATTGTCCATCACTCCCATCATTTATTCATGCAATAACTCAGTTACCAATGCTAATTTTGTTTGGTGCAAAGATAAACTTAATGTTTCTGTACAGTCTCTTGTTGCATCAACAATTTAGGTTTTTCATTTTAACCCCAAAAAGGTGTGATTAATTTGTATTTCAAATGATTAGAAGCCCTTTATTGAACCTAGTAATTACTTTGTATTTCAGGATGAACAGAAGCCTTACATTGAGCCTATTGATTATTTTGTATTTCAGGATGAACAGAAGCCTTATGTTGAATCTAATGATTCCTTTGTTTTCCTGGATGAACAGAAGTTCTGTATTGAGCCTATTTTGTATTTCAGGATGGACAGAAGCCTTGTATTGACCCAAGTGATTTCTTTGTATTTCAGGATGAGCAGAAGCTTTATATTGAGCCTATTTTGTATTTCAGGATGGACAGAAGCCTTGTATTGACCCAAGTGATTTCTTTGTATTTCAGGATGAGCAGAAGCTTTGTATTGAGCCTATTTTGTATTTCAGGATGGACAGAAGCCTTGTATTGACCCAAGTGATTTCTTTGTATTTCAGGATGAGCAGAAGCCCTGTATTGAGCCTTCTTTGTATTTCAGGATGAACAGAAGCCCTGTAGTGACCCAAGTGATTTCTTTGTATTTCAGGATGAGCAGAAGCCCTGTAATGAGCCTTCTTTGTATTTCAGGATGAACAGAAGCCCTGTAGTGACCCAAGTGATTTCTTTGTATTTCAGGATGAGCAGAAGCAGTGTATTGAGCCTATTGATTACTTTGTATTTCAGGATGAACAGAAGCCCTATATTGAACCTAGTGATTACAAAGAGTTCTATGGTGCAACCACGCCACGCTTTCAGTTCGAGGTATGCACCTGAACATAAATATTTCATATAAAATCTGTGTCTTGATTCAGACAATTGATATTGTAAATAATATCTTAGTGCCTCTGTTTTAATGTTCTTGAACGAAACATCTACAAAATGTCATTTATGTATAATTACTATGTGCTAGTTCATTGTGAATCTTTTAAGATGCATCTTTCACTAAATCTATGCGAACACATTTTCAGGACTCCCCTCCACATGTGTCAAATTCGCGAAAAAGAACATCATCTGAAGCATTCTTCATCCCTCCTGCAGAGCCAAGTCCTGAGGGGGACTATATCGGCCAACATTCACAGGGTCTTGGAGGACACTACGCAGAATCTTACTTCAAACGCAGGAAACTGTTGGAGTGATGAAACACAATAGTGAACTTGTTTAAGTAAAACATGTTGAACACATTTTAATTGATTTGAGACCTGATAGTGTCCAAATTGAGGCACAATATTATATTTTGCACATTGCACTCAATTCAACATGAGGGTTGGCTGTCAGAGTCTGATATTTGTTTATGTGTATCATTTTCTAACGAAATCAATTTTGCGCTCCCAAAAAGTAACTTTAGCCCGAGAGTTTGGATGAATTAGTGATTAAAATTATGTATATGTGTAGAGTTTAGTGTTAAAAACGTTTCAACTGCTAGAGGTGTATACCTCAACAGTTAAGCTATACATTATTTGGTTACTATGAATTCCCATTGATTATGTTTGTTATCGTTATTCATTTTGGGATTTCAGTATATTTAGGTAATTCATGTATTTTTTTTTTGTGTAGCATTGAAAATATTCAAAATTAATGCTAAATATTTAAAAATTGTTCAGGTAGATTGAAATTATGGTTATCTAGGTTGGAGTAATGTAATTTTCTGATTTTCATCGTTGTATATTTTCTGGCTGAGATTCATTTAAAGTGAAGCTCTGCTTAAAGTCAAGTTCAACAAATTGTTCAATATAACGGAGGTAAATAAATGCTAGAAATTGGTTCACTGGTAGATTATTGTCTTCATAGCAAAAATAGGAGCTCAAAGTTGTAACTTAATTGAACAAAGAAATGAAACGTTAATGTAGTAAATAGCATAAGCATTTTTATGTCACCACCAAAAGTGGTGACATATTGTTTATTTTACCGGTGTTTCCTGAGTGCATTTTTTCATATTTTATGTCAAACCAATGAGCAATGGTGGTTAGTAGTATCACCTAAGTAAAAATGTGCAGTATTATGTAAATATATAATTCTGAAGTATGTGCTTACGATTAGTGTTGAATATAGCTCTCAAAACATTGCCAAGTTTGAATGTGTAATTGGAAGTTGGATAATATTTTATTTTAGAATTGTATGAATATTTATTTTTCTGTAGTGTTTAATACAGAGTTATATTTTAGTCATATGATTCAACTTGAAATTATTATCAGCGTATTCCTGGTATGATAGATCCATTTTTAGATAAGAAACATAAAATGTCAATCAGTGTAGCTAATGCACAGGTGTGTCCACAGATTCTGTCCTTTTTGGCCGTTTGGCAATTTTCGCATGTTTTGTAAATATTATCTTAAATCATATATTCTTTACCATATGTCTCCTATGTTATGAAGTTAGAGTGATGAGATGGTCTTAATTGGAACGCAAGTGAGTATAAACCGTATCCTTCAATAGTTATTTGCTGAACTGGTTCATTGTGGTCTTACACACTTGGTCTATGTCTAATGTTCATTGCCACTGACCTTATTCTTCCTAGTACTTAATAATCGAAATTCAAATTTTCTGCTTTTAGAACCAAGGTATCAGCAATTCTGTTCTGTTTAAAATCTTGATTTTCTGAGACCTTGCATGCTTACCCCCCTATCACACCAAACTAGTTCTTACCCGTTCTTGCCAGTCCTACGAAAACGTCGTAAAACGGGCTCAATCTGGCTGTGGTCGGGAAATATGGCTGAAATAATTAGCTTCTTCGTTCTTAAACAGTCTTCAATACGTCCATCTCGTTCGCAGTTCGTTCAGGTCGCACCACGTCGGTGTGCAACGTAGTAGAACGCGTCCCTTAGTCTAGAAGGTCAACATGACCTGATTACAGAACGGCATGGTCGCCATCGAATTTTGAATCGATTCAAAATTCTAAAATCACATTCCCGTCTGAGAACGTTCATAAAGTTCGTAAATAAACATTAGAAAGTTGCAGCTACGTTCATTCCGTTCGCACACAGTTTAAAACCAGTTTTGGAGAACGCAGTGGCAACTTGTTTGGTGTGATAGCTATATTTTTGCTAACTCGTTCATAAGCAGTGTTAGATACGTTCTTAATCAGTTTAAACCCGTTTGCAATTAGTTCTACCTCATTCTAAACACGTCCTCAGACAGTTCAACTCGTTGTTAAAACGTCCCTAGTAGGATTGAAGTACGACGGTTCCGTTCGTAGTACGTCCAGCTCGTCGTTAGTACGTTGTCACTCGTTCTAATTGTAGAACGTGACGACCACGAGAACAGTTTGAGCATTGTCTAAGTTCTAGAGGACCTACCCGTTCGAGTACGTTCGATGGAGTTTGTAAATAGATCCCAAACGGTTCTTAGTAGGTCCAGTCCGTTCGTACACAGTTGAAGCCCGTTTTCGAGAACGTAGTGAGAACTAGTTTGGTGTGATAGTAGGGTTATGCTTATATGCAACTCAGTATTATTTTTCAGCAATAATTTACTGTCATGCAATAATCAGTATAGGCAGCCGTGAAATACTATTCTAAACAGCAAAGTACAGTAACATCAAGTTTGATCGGATATCCATCAATCTTTTTAACACTGTACAACAATATTTATTAATAATATATATATTTGTATGTGTACGTTTGTGAAACTGAATGTGAACTGGATTTGTGTTGTATTTGAGTAGATGGAGATATGGGAGATGTATTATTAGAAAAATATATATTAATCATTATAAACTGTAAAATACATTTTTTGTTACCCTATTGGTTTCTTTGTAGAAACGCATACAGTTGTTCTGAGAGGCTTGATTCAAATATCAAAACTTGTACTGAAGTTACTATTGGTATATTTATTCATGGAAACTTGGAAGATAAAAACAGTCATTTGAATTATTTTCTTCAACCTAAAAATGCCACACTTGTTAACCAAAAATATTGAGAAATGTGAAATGTCAACCATTTTGCCGATCAAATCGTACCCTTTGCATTCGTTTGACTTCGCTTGTTAAAAGTGAGCTTTGCCATCACTCAGATTCTGCGCGCATGATGACCAAATGCAGATGTCCCGTTTAGAGGCTAAATATCCCAGTTATCAATTATAGAAATGATTTACAAACTTTAGATTAGTGAAGGAACAACATCACTGGCAATGATTTACCTGAAACCATGGACTAGTCAGGCTGATCTCGCACACATACAGTAACAGTCTTATTTTTTCCCATTGGGTTAACTTAAGTACTCCCGTATTTAGATATAACTGCAGTCTCATGTTAAATAGACCTTGAAATATGAACACCTCCCAATTTTAACAGTCATATTTGAAAAATGAAAATGTCTAATATGAACACTTTTCATAAAATATTACCTGTTTCATACAAAGTTGTTCAAATATTTTTTTATTAATCACTACATGATATCCAATTTTGGAAAAAACATTGAATTGAATAGTGTCCATCTTTCTAACATGACTAATGAATTTACTAGTATTCAAATCATATGTTCGAATTATTGCCATAAAGCTTTTTGGTCAATAGAACTATAAGAGTGTTCACACTTGTTTAAAATCCACAATCCATAGTGTTAGAATCAGACAGGTTTTACGTATACTAAACTGTTTAATTCTTCCTCACATAACGAATTCATGTTTAGAGAAATCTTTCCGGTTTTGAAAATTCGTAATTAGAACTACTACTACTGCAGCCTTCCTGCGAATCCGGAGTTCTGGGTGTAGTATCCACTGTTCCAATCCATTGTTTTATCCGTTTAGCCCTTTCTTCTGGCATCAGTTCGTTATCTTTAATATATTGCTCCACGTTATCATAAGCATAGGAGTCATTAACATCTCGCCAGGTTTTCCAAGTTTCTGCAGTTTTAACACGGTCTTTTCTGACGGTCTGGTCGCCATTAATGTTTGGATCTGGCGGCGTAGCGTCTGATCTATACAGTCCTTCATGAATATCTCTTTCTTTTTGGGGTACTAAATGTTTTGTACTCGATATCCCTTGCCATCTCTTGAGTTCATCATTTTTTGTTTTCGGTATATCTTGTTCCAATGATTTACTATTTTGGTCTGTTTTTCCTCCAACAGGCTTTGTATTTTCGGCATGTATTTTACAGGCACTGTGTTTGTGAGAGTTGTCTTTATCCGTATATTTTGTGCCTTTACCTAGACTTTGAGATTTTCGGTTAGTTGGACTAGATTTTGTTTTGTTAGATGTAAGCATAAAATGACGTTTATCATCGTTTTCGTCTTTGCTCACATCTTGCCATTTCTGCTTAATATCCAGAATTATTTTGGATCTTTCTCGGTCTCTTTGGCCATAGTTTTTTCTGCTTGCAGCCGGACTTAGCTGCTGTTGGCATATTTCATACCACGTTATACCCTCCTTGGGTTTTGGTACCTTTGATAGTGTATCCAGACGTTTATCCGGATGGTTTATTGTAGGTTTGTTTGTACCATTGGGTACCTGACTGAATCTAGAATATGTGTGTAATGGCGGCAATAACGATGTTTCACTATTGGTTCTCGATCTATTTCCAAATGTAGCATTCAATTTCTTTCCTTGTCTTTTGCTCTGTGGGGAGCCCGTTTCTCCTAAACTTCTTGTCAAGCGAGATTTTTTCTTCCCGTTTTCTATCACTAAGGGGTTTTTTGCAGGGTTCATCTTGTCAGTTGATTGGTCCTTAAGATATGATTGCTGGTGTACCCTTAATTTGCCTACAAGAACATGATATTCGTCCACAAGTGGATCAGCATAATCAAGGTTTCCCTTCGCCATTCAGTCGTTGCGGGATCCTGAAATATAAATGGTCAGTTCTCAGAATATCGTTCTTAATAAATCGATTCAAGGAAGTGGATTTCGTTTGATATATTATGCAGTATCCACAAAGATGTATCTGAAATATGTCATTCAAGATACAAGCGCTTTCAATATTTTTCTTCTCACTTATAAGTTTCCTAGCAACGAAGAGGAATAAATGATCGCTAGTTTGGAAGTCGTAGGTTCCATAAATAATTCTTATGTCTAATTGCACCGTGTTACGAGGGGATCAATAGAGCCACTTGGTCATAATTACGCACAATAAATAAAATGTTTCTTACGAGAGCATGGCATTCTAGAATAACTTTTAAAAAAAGTACAAGAGTCTTACATCGCAATTGATGTAATCCATTACATCCACAGTGCAAACTGCCAAGTATGGTTTTTTACCATCGAAACCCATATACTTTTTACAGTATGTTTAGTGTTTTCATGTAAACAATTCTTACATACATACCATTACCGACAAAAAATAATATCAAATAAGATTTTGAATTGTCAATATCCGTTTTGTTTGAATTGTCAATATCCGTTTTGTGAAACTTATTGATAACTATGTAAAGGCTCTACAAACTCTCCACGACCTTTCCCTTGGCATTGAATGTCCAGTTATCATAAGGTAGAAAATATCTTACCCGAGGCAGAACAATATTTATTATAAACTTGTATTCTCCGTCTCTTGTAGCTATGTGCCAAACATGCATAACAATTGTATAATGGATAAATATATCTCAAAAGAAGACTTACGCTTTCTTAATCGATTCGAACATTTTAAAAGAAGGGATATTAGGATTAACAAAAATCTATTTATGTATTAAAGAATTTATACAGATTTACTATTTATTCCCAACTAATATGCTACAAAAATAAATCTTTGTTAAAACTACACTCCCCTCCAGAAATCAGGATATCTATTCAGTAAAAGATTCAGCAAAAAATATTTTTATATGGAAAATTGAATTGTCTAACTTTTTTGTACACTAAGTGTCTAGTTTGCTTGATGAATACTAAAGTTACACTCTTAGAAATGAATTACTTGAGTATTTCCCAAGTATTTCCCAAGTATAAAAATTACTTAAAGTTAAATACTCAGTTTTACTTCATTTTACTTAGGTTTAACTTATATTGTCATTTTGAGTTTTTTAATTGCTTAATTATGTAAATGAGTATTACAATTACTACAGTAAGTATTTCAATTTCTCTCCTTGCATTAGTAAATTCACCATAAATGAATTACTTAAAAATTACTTAAACATTATTCAGTAGTTCAAGGTTATTTAAGTAATTTTTGACTTAAAATGAGTAGTACAATTTCTCAATATAAGGAAATCCAAGTAATAATTTTTAAGAGTGTACAGAGCTCCAAAGTGAAAATTATTTTTCGCCTCCTGTGTTATTTCAATGGGAGAGGTTTTTTGAAAAACAATTTTGACTTAAAGACCTATAACTATGTAGAACCTGAAGAAACGTATATATTTTTGCTAAATAAAGTTAGCAAATTCAATTGCCTACTTAACTTATATTTCTGCAAGGGACTCGGATGGATGGATATTCTGTCATATACAGTAACTTGGGGCAAACCTACCATTTCCCGTTGGTTAACATGGGAATGTCGATTTTCAAAAATTCATCATCAATTTTCGACCTATTGTAATTGAGGAAAAAATTGAGAAAATTGGAAGTATTAGAAATAAAGTCAAATTACGTTTCCATCAATAGTTTAATATTTTCATCGCAGGTTAAGCAAATAAAAATTCAAACGTAAAGAGGCTTTAACATGTACTTCAATGGGGAAGCTAAGGTTGCCAAACTTATGGAGGGGAGTGTATATTAATACAAGATTAGCGATTCGATTTCTGCTTTCCAAAGTGCAATGAAAGGTTGTTACAGTTGAAAGTAAATTCTCCCGTTGAGAAAGATCCTACGGCCTACATCAATCAACATTATTTTGTTGATGCAAATCGACGCATGTTAAACCTAGACTCAACCTAGTTGTTGGGTCCTGTATTCATCGATATCCCATTATTAATGTGTTATTGTGCAATGGCAGCCAGGGATATTTCTGATACTATATTGACATCCGTGTCACTGGTCCTTCTATATTTTTATCGTTTTCACCAAAAAGGAGGTCGATTTGTATCCAAATATTTTACCCATGTTAATAGTAACACCCGGTTACTTAAAAGTTAATCAGTTACGAGTACACATCCTAGGGCTCCGATAATCGAGTGAGAATTCCTCGCTTCAGCAACCAGAACGTGGTCTTGTTTAATAGTTTAATATTTTCTACATGATCATCTCTGAAAAGTTCAACTGTGATTGAGGAGTATGAAAAAATAAGAGCATTTGGTTACTTACTTTCTGATCGGGCCTCGTATGCACTGGTGTAAAGTATGTGCGTGACAACTTAGATTTTATTTGAAATAAATTCACTGTTTTTTTAACAAAAACTTAAAAAAAACGTTTTTGAAATTAAATTGAAAAGTTTCACATTACACATTTTGATAACATTGAGTGAGTAGAACTAATGTTTGCCAAAGTGGTTTAAACTTTATTTGAGGCCTGAGCAGTAGTAAAATCAGCCCTGTTAACATTATTAAGGTCCAGCTGGATGTTGTAACGATAAGGAGGAAAACATTCCTTACTCATTATTTTCTATTTCAAACAAAGCAGGTAATTTATGTATAATCACTAGCAATCAATATGAGTCAATTCAAATCGAGATCCAAGAAACATAAAAAATCTTGAAAATAAATAAGTCATTTGAAATAGAACTCCATCAACTAATTTTTGGGAAACAGGTTAGAATGAGTTACTGTATAATATTATGCAATTAAAGTTCCAACTTATTTTAAATCATATTTTCACAAACCTCAAATATTTCAATCTTCTGACAACAAGGTAAAATCAGCATATCAATTTGAAATTCACTTTTTCTGAAACTCTGCCAGATTTGATTGACAGTTACCATATTTGGGCATGAAATTGATGGCCTGTGTTAAAACTGCAAGGTCAAATTGATCCAGTCACTCTCTATGACAATTTAAAAACTGATTTATGGCTAAAAACAATCAAATTCTAGCCTTAATTTCTCAGCTAAAATACATTTCTGGCAAAAATGACCTTTCAAACCATTGTTGATCATCCAATATCTATTGATTTGTGAACTTTTGAATTAAATTGTGTTCATCAAAATGTGATTTTAGCAATGTTTTATCAGACAGTGTTTTCAAAGAGTTTTGAATCAGATTCAGAAGTGTACAATTGGTGGTTTCAAATACTACTTTTTATAATTTTCTATAATGATAAGGGGAAGAAATTTGAAAAAGAAAAGGGGAGCAGGTGGGTTATAAAGAGAAAGAAGATTGGGAATGTATAACTAGAAGATGCATAAAACAGTCGTCTTGAAGCAAAAATCTAACTCTTTTATGTGCTTCTGGGAAGCAATATTTTCATTGACCCTGCAAACATCAAATGATTGGTTGATAGTTTGGGGTCCGCTCATTATACCGAAACCTATTATACCGACGCGCATTATACCGAAACCCATTATACCGACGCGCATTGTACCGAAAGGCGTTATACCGAATGCCATAATCATCGTTCCACAACTAGTTACTTTGACGGAACGTCAATGTAACAAAATGGATGAACTTCCTGGTTACGAATTCCCAAAGCTAGAAAATATAGCCTAGTTTTATTAAGTTTCTTCGATTTGGAATTTGTTTTGTAAATGAAGCTGTAATTCATATGTACTAAGCCCCTCGCTTTTCTTACATTGACGAAAGCCTGTTATATTACCAATGTATGTTACTTTGTCAATGGGAATTTAACCCGACCATTTTTAGAAAACTTGAAAATCTCTAGAATTTGAATAAAGGTAAATAAAAGTGCAAAAACTAAGTTGTTTTGATAGAACATTACATACAGAATTCAAATAGAAGAAAATGTTAGTGGTTAAAAATGCAGATCTCCTAAAATATCAGTAAAACGAGACCTTAACGAGATTTCAAAGCTATATGGAAAAGCCACTATTAGATAGATGCCTTCACGAGGCTATTCTCTGTTCTTGTATCCGTGCCTCATTTTGAGTAGCGAGTGTAAATTGAATTGGAGAGTGTAATATGAATTAGAGATATCTGACAAAATATGGATAGCCTAAAATATAAATTTTGTGTTTTTGAACATGCGGAAATATCTTGAACACTTTGAAACTGAAGTACAGTTCCTTAATAGGTTTCTTGTTTCTTGTCAGTTTTCTTGTTTTTGTTCGACACAGCACTTGTGTTAATAGCCACGCGTAATTATTAATAAGCGTAATCAGATTATTTCAAGCGTCGAAATAGCTTATTTTCCTCGACGTATCTACACAAACCTATTCACTTACCGTTATAGTGAGCGATCTAGATGCGTCAATTATAATTGTTTTCAATCATCGGCTTTAGTGGCCCGCGATACCTTTTATTTCATTCATTTGAGACGCAATTGATATATTGGCAACAAATCAAATGTTCTAAATGATTCTTCTTCATTTTGGAGTGTTTTTCCCACCCGATATTCAAAGATGTGTCTTGAATATTATACTTTACATTGATCACGATTCTTGTACTTTCTGTCTTTACGACTCCCGTTCACATTTGCAAGAGTTGTTGATTGCATTGCCTTGATCGTTGGTCGAACTTCGATTCCAACTAAATCAGATTAATCAATTAAGAAATGAAATATCATGTTTATCCAAGCAAATAATTGTAACAACTACATTATTTTTTAACAGTTCTGACACCTAAGCAGGGTAGCCTAGTGGCGTAGACTGAGGCTTCTTTGCGGTTGAACGTCGTGGGATACGGAGGTCCCGCGTTCGAGCCCCAGGTACGGAGTTGTTGATCATTGTCACTACGGACACCCGGTCCGAAGGTCCAACCGTTTACCGGCCCTTGGCATGGGTTGGTTCTCTGGCCGCTCTTGCCGGAAACAGATTGTGAGACTGTGGTTGGTTCCTCCACTAACGTGCTTTAGTAAACTCCGGGAGTCATATAGCATGGTAGCGGGCCCCCACCAAGGGCAGTAGTGGAACGACGCGAATCGGAAAAGACTTTTGCTTCTTAATTTGACGTTTTAATTCATTTATTTACATACTTTATTCATATTACTTTCCAGGCAGTTATGATTTTCATTGGTCAAATGAATGAACGAGACACACATAGCTGCAATATCCGTAGCATTTGGCACAGTCGGTTCCCACGCTCTATCATTTTGCGTGGTCATCATTAGATAAGGACGTACGGTTGATTGGACCATGGGCTTTCAACAGAGTCAAGAAATTGGCATGGATACTTTGAGAAATGAGGTACCAACAAAAGGAAACACCGGAAATAATCCAGAAATGTCCACACCATTGTTTTCGTTAGTTATGGCAAGGCCCCGGAGGAAAAACAGCATTCGTGGGTAGCTTAACCCTAGAAAAAAAGTTACACGAACACCTAAGGGGGGTCAAAAGGGCATCCCCCTTGTAAAAAAATTATTAGTGGAGCTAGGAAGTTCAAACTTTCCCCACTTTCAAATATACTTCATTCAACAACTTGCAACTTGGTTGTAATAACTTTAACAACTATGATGGTGTAAGATTGCGTAATTTCATTCTAAAGACACCATGTATGATAGAATTGGTGCT